CATGTCCTCCTCAGTTTCAGCAAGCAAGGTTGTATCATCTGCATAACAGTTTGTTGATAAGTCTTCCTCCAATCCTGATGTCATATTCTTTTTCATGATTTCCAGCCTCTTGAAAGATCTGTTCTGCATATATATTGAAAACATATGGAGATAGGATGCATCCTTGATGCACACCTTACTAACCGATCCTGAACCATACAGTGTTTTCCTGCACTGTTCTGATTACTGCTTCCTACTCCACAAGTGGGATTTTCAAGAGCACAATTAAGTGTTCTGGGATTCTTATTTTTATCAAGGTTAGCAACAACAAATATGATTAGTGTCTGTCAAAATCTAGGCATTTTTGAAAGAAAATATTGTGCTGTGATTTTAGAGAAAATTTAGATAGAAAATTAGGTTCTTTCAATGAAATGTACCGACAATATGACAGTAGCGATGGCTCAAGTCAGAGATATTGAGGATGGTATAGGAGGACAGGTTTCAAATGTGTTGTTCACAGGGTTGCTATGAGTTATACTTGACACAGTGGCACCTAACAACAACTTTATACACACACACATATACACACACGTCACATATATTAGTAATGCTGTTGTACACTTATTAATTTATGTTCTTCTTTTTATTTCTTGTGATGTGCTGGCAAGTGAGAGCTGACTCACAGCTGGGGTTTTCAGAGGCAGTAAATCATAGGAGAGGAGATCGCTCATGTTTCTACCATGGAGCAGCTGGCGAATTCTAACCTCATAACTTTGCATAGACAGATCAGTTCCTTACCACTCAGCCACCAGAGTTCCTTTAACAGGTTAGTGTAGCGTAAACACACACACACACACACACACACACACACACTCATTCATTCATTCATTTATTTATTTATTTTAATGTACTTGTAAATAAAAAAAAAACCCTCAAAACCAAAACAACACATGACTTGCTTTACTGTGATACTGCTTTAGTGTGGAGATCTCGAACTGAACTAGCCATCCCTCTAAGGCATGCCTGTATTGTTTCTCTAGATGGAACAACAGTTCATTGGTGAACCAGGCACCATCTAGTTCTCGTCTGGAGGTAGGTGAGGCCGAGACTCTTGGAGAGTATTCATCCTGTATAGACTTTGTATCTTTGTTTCCTTCTTTCTCTTCTGTTCCAGACATGTAGAGATGGTCAGCTGTATTTTAGACGGCTTCCTTTCAAGCTTTTAAGACCTTCGACGCTACTCACTGAAGATATAAAACTTCTTTGAGTTATGTTATCCTGGTTTACTGAGTTGTTCGTTAAAATAAACATATTTTCAATAAATGACTCTTAATATTAGCTCTATAGAGGTATCTGCAAAATTTTTTCAGATGAACTTTAGGCATGTTTGGGAGCTTTGGGGGCCTAGTGGTAAGAAGTGGCAGTACCTTGTTAAACCTTTCCACTGCTACTGGAGTGAAATGGTATCTCACGGTGGTTTTACTTTTCATCTCTCTTATTGCCCATGATTTTGAGCATTTCTTCATGTGTCTGTTGGCCATTTGAGTATCTTCCTCTGTGAAAATTCTTTCCATATCTTTTACCTATTTTGTAATTGGGTTATCAGTCTTTTCTCTTGTGGAGGCCCAGGAGTATTCTACAAACTTTCATTGTGAGACTCTTGTCTGAGTTGCTATTGCCAAATGTCTGCTCCCAGTTGGTAGGTTTTCTTTTCACCTTGTTGAAAAAAGTTTTTGATACACACAGGCATTTAATTTTTAGAATTTTCCATTCATCAATTTTATCCTCTTCAGATTGTGCATTTCTAGCTATATTTGGCAGTTTCTTTATACTGTACACTAGGCCTTTAAGCTTGGTCACAGCTTGTCTCTTATGAACTTCATGGCTCTGGGCTTTTGGAGAATATGTCATAGGAACAAGATACGAACTCTTATAAATTGTTAGTGGGATTGTAAAATGGTACAACCACCCTGGAACACAGTTTGGCGCTTCCTCAAAAGGCTAAACGGAAATTCCATCTGACCCAGTCGGTCCATTTCTTGGAATATACTCTGAGAAAATGAGAAATGACACTCAAACAGAGACATGTACGCCAGTGTTTATAGCAGCATTATTCACCATCACAAGAACATGGAAATAGCCCAAATATCCAACCACAATCAAATGGGTTGAGCAATTATGGTACAGTTACACAGAGGATTACTATGTAACACTCAGGAGCAATGATTTTTTAAATTACTCCCTAACTTGAGAGGGACTGGAGAGCATTATGCTGAATGATAAGTCAGTCCCATAAGGACAAAGACTGTGTAAGAATGAGTATGAAGATCAAATGGGGAAGTGAAAGTAGAGGGGCGAGGATGGGGGGACAGGTAATCAGAGGGTCACACAAATTGATTGGGAGTGGGTAAAGGAAAAGGGAAATATTCAGAGTGAATAACAATTTATTCAAACTTTGTAAATAAATAAGTACAAAATAAAATTAATTTTGTTAAAAGGTGTTATGCTACCAACCAAAAGACATGCAGTTCAGATGCACCTGCTGCTTCATGGCAGAAAGATGTGAGATTTAAAGCCTCCGAAAACTCACAAGTGTGTTAATATGAGGCAGTTTAGACTTGACAAACAACATAGACATGTTATTGCAGCTGTTGGTAGAGACTGTTGGCTCAATTCCCTGGGAGGAATAGCTGGTGTTTGAATTGGTTGGTACAAGTAGGTGTAAGCATGGAGGCATATCCGACCTCATAGTAATAGATTTTATACTGTGAATATTTGGGGATACCCCTTGTGGAGTAAGAAGAAGTCAGACATGGCTGCCCCCACACACAACCCACACTGTTGTTACATATTTTGTTCTCTTCAAAGGCCTACTTCTTGGTTTACGTATATGCTCACAATGAGCACAATTAAGTACTCTAGGATTTCCACTCATGGCAATGTTATCCATAATGTTGTGATCCATGCAATCTTTGCCTTTGAATAGTCAACAAACACAGGTAAACATCTAACTGCTTTCAGCCAAGACCCCTTGAACAAGAGCAATGGCATCCCTCATTTCTTGTCCTCTTCTGCCTCTAACTTGAACTTCTGGCAAATTATAAGAAATACATTTCGGTATGTTTAACCCATGGCATGACCTGGTCAGTCTATTTTGAACCACTGTCATCAGAATAGGAATCTTGGAGGCACAGTGATTAAAGCTAAACCAAAAGCGAGCAGTTGGAGTCCACTGTTTGTTCAACTGACAACAATTTAGAAGTCTTCTCTGTAAAGGATATACAGCTTCGGGGAAGCTTTGGAGCAGTTCTACTCTGTCATACATAGTCACAGTGACTTGGAATCAGTGTGACAAAAATATAGTAAAGGAGTGAGGATGTGTGTGTGTGTGTGTGTTTAACCATAAGGTTGTACAATCTGATGGGAGGGGTGAGGAAAATTGGCAGAATCTGATGTGTAAAACAATATATTGGAATTTTGTAAATAAACTACTATAATAAAAAATACATAGTTCTGTTATTGTGGTTATTATCTGTTTGCTTATTGTGAAATTATTTATGGATTAGTGATAAGAAGGTATTTTTCTGTGTTGTGATATAAATATGCTTGTGGTGTCTTTGAAAGACCCTGAGAATGTGTTATAATTACCCTTCGCTGTTTTTATTTTTAGGTGGGGTAGAGTCATCTCTGACCGACTTAAAACAATCCCAGGTAAACCCTGCTCAATCCTGTGTCCTCCTCACAAATTTCTGTCATGCTAAAGCCCATCGTTGCAGTGACTGTGTTAATATACGTTGTTGAAGGCTTTTTTCCTCTCACTGACTCTCTACTCTAGGGAGTATGTGGTCTTCTTTCAGGAACGTGTCCCTCCTGATAGCATGCCTGAAATATGCAAAGATGAGATCAAGTCTCATAATCCTTCATTCTAAGGGCACTCTGACTATACTTATTCCAGGACATATTTGTTTATTCTTTTGGTACTTACTTTTTTACAAGTATTTAAAAGATATAAATACCTTCTCTAGGAGCTTTGTTCAAAATTCTTCAACTACATAATTCTTTTTCTGGTCCAACAGTTTTAGGCTTCAATATTTGTAATCCAAAGTAATATAGGAAACATTAGGAATGTTTAATATCTAGTCTACTTTTGTCTGTCCATTGACAGTTTAGTCTCATAAAGAAATTCTTCATTAAGAATAAGAGTATCTTAGAGTAAGTGTTTCTAATGTTGATTTATAAGGGATATTTTGGAAAAACTTGGTGTTCCCAATGAAAACATGAATTTTCTGGCACTCACTGAGATTCATTGACTCACAATATAGGAACAAGGCCAGGCATGTGTAGTTTATGTTTTCCCATGTGATTCTTCCAAGCTACCAGGCACGGGCCACACATATGTGTCCAATTATGATCCTTTTGAGAATAGCTCACAGTGGATTCTTTTCTGCTAATTTGCTTAACATTTCTTTGCGTATTTCAACTTATTCCATAAGGGAATGATGCATATTTTGGATGCTGTTACAAGCTTCATTTATTTTGTTGAACTTACATCCTGTTGAGAGTTCCTTTCTAAAAGCATGTTACATCCTCTGAAATACTCTTACTCTATTCCTCCTTTTCATTTTAATGACTTCTTGGTGATATAACTATTTGGGGAAAGTACTGAGATAAATGGTTAACTTGAAATGAAATATTATAATTTTGCAGATATTTGGTTTCCTATGTCTAATGGACAGATCTGATGTTTTGGAGGGGAAAATCACAAAAACTGTTCTCCTGAGATCATTAAGCTAGAAAACAGAGAGCACTATTTGATGCAAACAAATGTTTAGCTTAATTTTAAAAGAAAAAAAAATACTAAATCATTATGCAGTATACTTGGCGAAAAGCAAATCTACCACAAAAAGGCAGCAACAAAAATGGCACCTTCCATTTTCTGATTACTAGAAATGTGAATAAAATAAATTATTAAACCTATGTGATGATTTAAATTTTACACTTTTTTATTATTGAACACTTACAAGTCTGGCAATGCTTTTCTGTGGGTCCCCAGCATCGGCCAGTACAGGACTTATGGCAACGTCCACCTGTAGAACAAGAATAAAAAAAAAAAGGACAGACACATTAACATCCTCCATTCCTCAAATGAAATACCTTTGGTGATTTATGAGGATATTAAAGCTGCACTACATTTGAAACATAGCTACAAAATGCACATTTAAGTTACAAAACGTAATCATATGGCAAATATAAGTGAAGTTGAAATACAGATTTTATATTCACAATCCTCTTACCACTTTATAAAAAGGAAAGAGATGCATATGTAAATTTTCATAGAATGGCAGAAGTAATTTCTGTCATTTCTAGTATATAGTCATTGTGTTTTCATTTGTATTACTGAAAATTAGTACTTTATTTATGTCATTTTAAGAGCTCATAATTTACTTATACTGACAGATAGTAAAGGTTAAATCAATAGTTACCCTTCAAAACTAGGAAAAAACCTTGCCCCTAAAGCTCAACTTTTAGCCAAATGGCAGACAGATTTATAGGGTTAACACCACCACCAGGAAAACAGTCATCCTTAGACTAACCAATTAAGTGTAAAGAAGCATTTGCCCAGGATAAAGCACAGAAGGCTGAAAGTGATAGAAGATACACAGGAATAAGAATTCAGGAGAGAAAGTGGGAAGCTAATTTAATGTCATAAAATAGAAAATGCATGAATGGTTGCATGGAAAACCACTTGTATCATAAACATTCAAATCATAATAAACATATTAAATAAAAATTAACAAAGTTAATATCTGCAGAAAATAAGTGTACGCTCACACAAAAAGTCCTCAAAATAAAAGGTTCTGTGCATAATTTAGATTATCTTCATAAAACATTATAAAAAGCCAGTTTTAAAAAAAATTCATGTTCAATTATGTGATTGCCAATTTGAAATGCTATAAAAATATAAGGACAAATGTGGAGACAGCTGACTTTGATCTCTACTAAATCCACAAAGGGGAATTTTCCCATCAAGAATATCCACTGTACAAAACTAATCCATATAAAGTTAGACACGGTCCCTCATGCTCCTTCATCTCTGCTTCTACTAATTCAAACCCCAATCTTAACTGCTCTTCTGGTTCTAAAATCTGTTATAATAGCTCATAGATAACATGGAACCATACCCACAATTATGAAGTTTATTAGGGAACTTAACAATTGTTGTTAGGTGCCATCGAGTCGCTTGCGACTCATAGCGACCCTTTGTACAAGAGCTCTATACGCTCTTCTACCCTGTGCCAACCTAGCCATCCCAAACACACTTATTCCCACCTCTCTAGTGACAGAATCGATCCATCTCATCAAAGGTCTTCCTCTCCTTCACTGCCCCTCCACTCTGCCAAACATGGTTTCCTTCTCCAAGGACCAGTCCCTCCTTGCAACATGCCCCAAATATGTCAGACAAAGCCTCAGAATCCTTGACTCCAGGGAACATTCTGGCTTCACCCTCTCGAGGACAAACCTGTTTGTTCTCCTAGCAGTCCATGTTATAGTCAACACTCTTCTCCAGCACCACAGCTCAAAGGCATCAATTCTCTTTCTATCTACCCTAGTCACTGTCCAACTCTCTGATACACTTCTCAATTAAGAAAGCTTCTGAAGTGTACCTACAGCCCTGTGGCTTTAAGCCAGTATTTCAAATCTCTCTCTCAGTCCTAACAACTAGTGTTTCCCTCACAATCTTCTATCAAACTTGGGCAAAGAATGACCCATGATTCTGGTTCTGTAGGGTAGCAGTCCCAGGTTAACTCTGTCTCACATCGTGTCTGGCTCTCCGCTGTGGCTTCTGCTGTTCTCCTGTATATCTGGCTGGTCCAAGAATCTCTGGCCCTGAAGGGTATATGTGTTCCAATTTTTGCTTCTTCTTTTCTGCTGTTCAGAGTCTCAATTTCTGCTGCTGAATCTGCTCAATTTATTGGCAAGACTAGCTCCTCCCTTTTTAATAGCCTAGCACACCCTATGTCGATGTCCCATGTGGCAAAGTCAAAGTCAATCATACAGGTAAGCCAGTCTGAACAACAACAACCAAAAATCCTTGACACCATAAACGTTTATTGATAGTCTCTCTGTATTTTCAAATAGCAGCTCTTTTCAGCTCAATCAATATAGTTGCTCCATTGAGAAATTGCAAGAGATGACAGAACAGAAGAGTCAAAGCCTGAATTTGTTTTTCAGTTCTTTCAACTTGAGAAATGCGAAAAGATGGGCAATTTCCTCCCATGTGATTTACTGCCTATCTGGTGCAGTGTCAGCTATGTCGTGATGGTACATAACAGTAACACAGAAACTATGAAATTGGGTTCTAGAAAATATTTTCAACTTTCCTTGACCCACAGATTTTAAATCTCCAGCTTAGAACAGATGATGTGGTGTTTCATTTTTGAGTTTTGGGGTTCCCCCACTTTTTTAAACAATTTGAGTTTTTAATTTGAATTTTTCTCCTTTATTAGAATTTTTGCATAAATTAAATAAAAATTAATGTTGATAAAGGAGTGTATTAAAACTGCCATTTCAGCTTAATATAAAAATACATAGAATAAACTTTTGTCAGAATTTTAGGTCCCATTGTGTAGGGGTTTTTTTTCATTGTGTAGTTTTTACGTGAGCAGTAGAGAGAAGAGGAAGATCTTTGAAGGGAATTGAAGTTTAAATCATATTTATCATAAGAGTACAAAGGGACAAATACTGCCTGGTGCCACTGTTGTAGAATGGGTCTGACATCAGGGTGGGGGTATGACAGAAAAAACTGGATAAATTATGCATATTGTATTGAAACAGATGAGACAAAGAACAGATTAGAAGTGATATATGATTGAGTATTATGGTTAGCACAGGAATCCAGAATTAAGGTTGCATAGAGAAGTGTACTCGGAGTGGGGGGTGAGGGGAAGGGACGTGGGAATTGTATACTAATGAAGGAATTTTTTTCTTTTTTTTTTTCCTCTCTTCGGAGGGGGAAGCGATCTAGTGGGGAGGGGTGGGCAGGGAAAAAATTGCGGCAATGAATGAAAATTCCAAAACCTCTGTAAAAAAAGAATTTTTTAAAAAAAGGTACACCTGAAAAAAAAAAAAAGAGTTCGGAATGAGGGTTGCAGAGGGGAGTATACTGAGGGTGAGGTTGGAGGGTTGCAGGGGGGATTGTATACCAGAGAAGGAGTTTTTGTTTTGCGTTTAAAGAAGAGCAAACTGGGGGTGGGGGTGAGGTGGGCGGAGAGAAAAGTACAACAATGAATGAATGGAAATCCAAAATCTTCTGTAAATGTTCATTGAAATTAATAAAAAAAAAAGATATAATATACTAAACAGGGGAGACAGAGAATAAATACAAAACAAAGAACAAAACTGTTTCCCATTCCAAAATCCTCTAATACATACTATAGTCATTAGTGATAACTGCTGTAGTTTATTACAATCTCTATTATGCTGAGACCAAGACAGGTGAAGCACTCACTCCTGCTCCAGGCACCGAGCAGAGCAGTGCTGAGTAACACCTGACTCCCAGGCACCATCTGCAGGTGACCTAAAGAAAAATGATCAGCTAAAAATACAACATCAATACATCTCATTGAGCACTTTCCTCTTGTGTCATGAGTATGACAGAGATTGTGATGATGGCACATAAATAAGCGATAAAACTGCCTATTCAATTCATAGTGTATTCAATTCATCCAGTTATATATTTATAAGATTGAGGTACGGATTCAGCAGACAGGCTTTCTCACATTGAATGTTTCTTTATCTACCTTATTCAGCTTCTTCTTGTTGTTGTCGATTGCCTTCGAGTCGAGTGCGACTCATAACGACCCTATGAACAAAAGTCCTGAAGCCCCTCTACAATGATGGACATTTATCAAAGTTCATAGGGTTCCCGGAGGCAAGTTATTTAGGAAGTGGATGCCACCCCTGCTACCCTTCTGGAATTAAACCAGTTAAAAACAATTTGCCATCAAACCACTTCTGACCTATGGGATCTCTATGTGTGTCTCAGTAGAACTTTGCTTCGTGAGAGTTTCAATGGCCAACTTCTTAGCAATAGTTCAGCAGTCTTTTGTTTTGAAGCACCTTGGTTTGGACTCTAATCCAACCTTTTGGCTACCAGTCCTGTGTAATAACCACTTGGATTTCTCTGAAACCAAAACAGCAAACGCAACTCCCTGCTGTGGTGTCAATTGTGACTCAGTGGTTTTCAGAGGCTCATGGGAGGAGGCGGCCCATCTTCGTCCTGTGGTGTGACTGGTGAATTGGAGCTGCGGACCTTTCAGTTAGAAGTGCAATATATACTGTGCTTGGATTGTACCACTTCCAAGTCAGTGTAATAATTACACATAGTCCCAGGTACCTTGTTAAAAGTCTTAGAGTCTTTGCTTTGCCAGAGTCTATTCAAAGCAATTTTGTCTGCTGTTGACATCAGAGTTTATCTAGAGCAATTCTGTCACTTGCTGACATCACTAGCATATAATATCCTGTCACTCTGCCATCTGTTTGTTTAGATCCAAACATATTATAACTACATAATATACTCTCATTTTAGTTGACAGGAAAAGGGCTCCATCTGGTCTGAACAATATAACTTTAATCAATGATAATGATAATTATTATTAAAAACTTACTGGAGTTCTTTTGTGCAAAGCTAATAACTCTAAATTGATTTATACTAATGGAAATTAGAAAGGGCTGCGAGACAAAATAAGTAGCAATAAAAACTTTCTCAAGTAGATACTTTTTTTATGAGAAAGCAGCCAACTTCAATGTGTTTCTTTAGATTTCCTAAAGTCCTTTAACTACACCCATTAGGTGAAGAACATGTTACCATTTAATTTATGGTTTCTTTAATTGTGTTTGTGGTTAATAAAATATTCATCTTTATTCTTTGTACTATTTCTAGCTGGAAAAAGAACCAAGCGACATTGTTAAGTGCCACTCAGGCAGCTTCAACTCATAGAGATACTGTGGACAACAGAACAAGCACTGTCTAATTCTGTAACCTTCCCACACTCCTTACTGTGCTTATGTCCACTGCTATCTGTGC